AGCAATACAAGGTTAAAGTAGTGCAACGAGAATTGGATCGAGGTGGAGACGTAGTCAAGTGGGTACCCGGCAGTACCTCCGCCCTGCTGACTAGTAGCCGCTACCTCTGAGTAGCCTATTGCCTCATATAGCTTGGCCTTCTCCTCGGATGTCATCTCTGATCGAAGGCGCTGCATCAACTCATTAGAATCAGATGCAGGGCTTGCATTGGGAGCAGACGAAGAGTCTCCGATCCCCTCACAAGCAGTGGAAGCACCACTACGGAGCCAACTAAACCACCCACCGCCACCACTGCTAGAGGTACTGGATGTGTGGCCTCCAGAATGAGAACGTCTCGATTTTGTGATGCGCTTCATCTAGATTATATAAGAAATATCAAAATAAAATGAAGGAGAGGTGATGTCAAGGCTAAAAGTGGAATTAATAAAAAAATAATTTTACTGAGCTTCTTTCCTCTTAAGGATGCCGAAAGGCATTAAGAAGAGCCAAAATGTAACCTGGTTTACTAATAGATCGTTAAATTGATTGGATCAATACCATTAGTAATAGTAAAATAGTGTTCAAATTAAGATATTTTCATTAACCCAATGAGGTCGGCATGATCAAAACGCATCCAAAGTTACAAGCCCTCCATACATCAAAGTAAACCCATTTGTAAAAGCTCAAATTTAATCGAGAACAAAAAAAAAAAAGCTGAAAAACCAGTAACCAAATAGAATCTCTTGTGTGCCAACCCACAAATGTTGTGGTACTGCTTGCTTTGGTTAGGTTAAATGTTGAACCACAACGTCGTTGGGTTGGCACACAAGAGACTAGGGCATGGGAAGTCATAGACTTTGTATTAGAGATAGAAAAAGGATAGACGCGGCGGCGATAGGAGCTAGTGGGCTGACAGTAGTTTTTATAAGAGACGTGGTCTATTTGGCAAAAGCCTGACCACGACACTTACTCAAGGCTTGAGCCTCAAATTTATAAGAGACGTGGTCCATTTGGCAAAGGCCTGACCATGACACTTACTCACAGACTTAAGCCTCGAATAGGTAGGGCCAATAACGCCTCGAGTGGCACAGATGGGGTGGCAGGGGTCGAGTGAAATATGTGAACCAGGGCAAAGACAGGATCTTACGGGACAAGAGATATACTGTGGTAAGATCTATGGAAGGAGGATTGCGTAACAATATGGCAAAATCTGATCAACATTCCCAGCACAAGAATGAAGGGGGGTGAGAAGGCCAGTGTCGACTACGGAGCGTTCTCATGAAAGCCGCTAAAAAAGGGCACACCGTACCACATTTAATTAAGCAAGTAAAAAATTGTGATGGTGAAGGCGTGATAGGAGGATATAGGAAATGTGAATAGGCAAGAGCAGAAGGGGAGATACCATAACTGTTTAGAACACGTTTGGTCAAAGGATCGGCTTCACTTGTCCCTTTGATGAGTTGTAATATGGTGCTACGAATGGTAAAACTCATTGACGATGCCGACTATGATGCCGGCGAAACGTCTGGGAATGAACGACGTCCACGGTGCGACTTTGGAAATGATCATGCATACAATGGACACAGGACAAGGTGCATTCCTTTAAGTCTTCCTACTAATATGACCAAGTTACGTAAACAAGGTCAAACAACTTCTATACAACGAAAGGAGACTAAGACCACACAAAAGGCCACACGATCTTGGTCTCCATACCTTCGATAAATAAATTAAGTTAGTGAAAGATGTAAAAAGAATAAATCATTTTTTAATATTTTAAGGATGAATTAAAGACAATTTTCTATGATCAAACGCCATAGATAAATTTCAACAAGATGGTATGGAGACCAAGATGGTGTGGCATTTTGTAGGGTCGCAATCTCCTTTAGTTGTATATACGTTCTTCGACCTTGTTTTCGCATCTTGGTCCTATTGGTAAGAAGATCTGGAGGAACGTACCTAGTCTGGAGTCCATAGTATGCATGATCATTTCCAGAGTAGGATCGTGGACGTTGTACACTCTGACGTTTGACAGGCATTGCCAGTGAGCATTACCAGTATTAACAGCATATTACAGACCGTCAGAGACAAGTGAAGCAGATCCTTTGACCAATTATCTGCTAAACAATTGTGGTATCTCTCCCTCCGCCCTGGGTTAATCAACAATCTTATATCGACGATTTGTCTTACTTGCTCATTTAAATGAGCGGATTTCATAAGAACTCCCCACATCTTACGCTAGCTATCTCACCCCCTCAGCCCCCTTCACTCTTGTGCTGGACATGCTGATCAGTCTGCCATATTGTTCGGAAGTCCTTGTCCCATAGGTCTTATCAGAGTCTCTCTCTTTCTCCCTGTATGATCCGTCTGCTATCTCTCTAGTTCAAGTATTTCACTGGAAACCTGCTACCCTATCTGTGCTACTCGAGGGGTTATTTCCCACACTCTGCCTCTAGGAGACTAAATTGGGGCTAAAGAACCAAGCAATTCGCATAGT